TATATAAAATGGCCATACCTGGGCTGGGGAGGGGGAATTTAATAAGAGAGGGTACGGCCTAATAGAATATAAAATCAACTTATTATTACAGAAAATACAGCTGGGTGAGAGAGCTCAAGCCCTCTCTGGAAGGCTGAGGCAGGTGGATTGCCTGAGCTCAGGAGTTCGAGACCAGCCTGAACAAGTGTGAAACCCAGTCTCTAAAAATAGCCAGGCATTGTAGTGGGTGCCTACAGTCCCAGCTACTTGGAGATTGAGGCAAGAGCATTGCTCAAGCCCAAGAGTTTGAGGTTGCTGTGAGGTGTGATACCACGGCACCCTACCAAGGGTGACAAAGTGAGACTCTGTCTCAGAAGAAAAATAAAAAAAATATAAAAAATTAAAAAAAAAAGGAAAGAGAAAGTTACTACCATTTTAAATACATATATATGTGTATGTATACATACATACATTATGTACAGACACACACACAAAGTTCCTATTATGTGGTCCAGGTGATAAGCACTCAGGTGTTTTCAAGCTCAACTCATAAGTATAACACATGGTCCCCAAGGAACTTTCAATGTAGCTGGAAAAAATAAGATATATGGAAAATAAAGAATTAAGAGCTAAACTGACTCTATATACAACAGAAAGAAAAGAGGCAAAAAGGTATTGTTGAGCCCCACCATGTGCCAGGCACCATGATAGGTGACTATGCTAAGTCTGCCAATAGTCACATTATCCTCTTCTACCTTAGTAACAGCACGCTAATTTTATCTTACACACCAATGTACCCAACTCACAGGTTAAACTTCCCACCCATTTTTAGCATGTTATGGTCATGTGACTAAATTCTGGCCAATGAGATCATAAGCAGATTGGATAGGAACTTCACAAAGACTAGCTAAAGAAAGCTAACTAAGCTGGAAAGCAGGCCATTTCTCCACTATTCGCTTCTTTCTCCTGCTATCTGGAGTATAGCTGTGATAGCTGGAGCTCCAGACGCCATCTTGGACTAAATGCTAATCTCAAATCTTGATACAGAAGTTAAACACCATTGTGGTAGAAAAAAGAAAACCAGAGAAAGCTTGAGTCCCAGATGAACATGAACCTACCATACCAGCCCTGGACTACCTACCAGGAC